GCTTGTATCTGCACTAGGAATGGCTTAGAATATACAGTATTTTGCGCTTGTGCTGTCACAGATTGCAGTCAGAAGCACAGCTAAAGGATTAAACTGGAAATTACCTAGTTTTGTGGAGATTATGTTCCTGTTTTGTGGGTAGAATTTGTTGTTTTTTTTATTAATGTTTAACAGCTTGTGCCTCCCTTTTTCAAGACCCACCCATGTGGCCCTGGAACCCCTGCTAGGCATTTATGTGGTGTTATCGTATCACTCCTATATCCAGAAATATATAATTTGTATCTAGATATAGTTTGTTTTGGTGAAATAATGGCCCTCAATGGCCGCTAACGAGTTAAATGGCAATAATGTCTGGCATTTTGGATTTTACTATCATTTAATCACCTGACAACATAATGAAAGATTTCAATGTATTCCTTGCCCCAAGAAATATACGGTTAGACACCAAAATTATCACTCCTAGATTAAATACTATGGGAGCTATAGGGGTTTATTTGATGTGGCTGCCGTTTTGGACGTCATCTTGAATTTCTCAAATTTCACCCAGGAGATTCCGAAAGAGGACACCCCAGGCTACTAAAATCAATCACAAAAAAAAACTTCGTATATAATTTTCAGGTTCACTTGAAATAATGGGTTTGGCGACCAGACTTTAAATTTGCACTTCTGGCGACATGTTCGTTATGTCTCATCGAGAGCGCGATATCATAACCTTCCTCTAGAAGTCGCCGGAATAATTCTAGTTCGATGGCTGTTAAAGCCTTTTCAACTTTCTCACGCGAAGTTGGTACGTGCGTGTCCTCGTCACTGGCTGGAAACTCAATCTCCATATCTTCACTTTCGCTATCCCAATGAGTCATGTGTCATTGCCATCACGACCGGCTTGAAACAATTCTTCAAACAATCCCGATCAGTACAAAAACACGACAACTCACGATGAATGAGAAGAAATGTTAAGAAAAAATATTTTTTCCCAAGTTCAGTATCTTGTGGAACTCTTGCTGTAAAAAACACCACAAACCCAAAACACTGTATCAAAAAAGTCGAAAATCTTGTGGAATGTAGTACCACACAGGCATATAGAGGGGGTCTGAGAAGAAATTTTTGGGAAAAATTGATTCTCTTCCAAAGTCCAATATCTTGTGGAATGTGGTACCACACAGGGACATGTGGGGGTCTGAGAAGAATCCTTGGAAAAATTGATTTTTTTCTATGTCCAATTTCTTGTGGAAGTCTTGTGGTAAAAAAGCACCACAGACCCAAAACACTCTATCAGAAGTCTTGTGGTAAACAAAACACCACAGACCCAAAACACTCTATCAGAATTATTCTAAGTGGAAAATCTTGCGGAATGTGGTACCACACAGGCATAAAGGTGGATCTGAGAAGACTTTTTTTATTAGTCCAATTTCTTGTGGAAGTTTTGTGGTAAAAAAACACCACAGACCCAAAATCTTCTTGAATGTGATACCACGCATATAGGGGATCTGGGAAGAAAGTTTTAGAAAAAAAATAATTTTTTCCCCATCTTACAAGGTGAAAGAATAAACTATTATTGTTCCAGCAAAATAAAAAGAAAATGTTTCATTGTCCACTTTTCCAAACGCTCTCAAGCCTTGCCAATGAGTCGATATTTTCGGAGTAACTTGTGGCCTATGAGTTTATGTGTGGTCCCTTTCCTATTTGTACTTAGATTTACTCATCGTAGAGGCCACTTGATCAACCAGACAGTATCCGAAAACTAACTGACGCTTGATCGTTGCCTGACTACTTGAATTTATTGAGTTTGCAGGTCTGGTGGCAGGCGAGGCTGCTTTTCCACCATCATTTCTAATGCGGTCCATATTATTATCCTTCACTGGTTGTGATACTTTCTTGTCTTGACTTTGGTATTTTTTGATCTTGTTGTTTTAACTTTATCCTGCAACTTATTTTTGAGAAGCAGTCCGTCCCTGTCGCTGACTACAGTCGATTGTCGCGATGACAGATTTTTCCTTGCATATTAAATAAATATTTTATACCGAATTTATAAGTTCACATTTCTCACCTTTATCGCTCAGATTTCAGGCACGCTTGGTGCGCCTCTGGATCCCTCTTCATCTTCGCACGCATTGCCGACATCATCTCTCTTTTAGATTTGCGTGCCATTGGAACAATCGTCATGCACTTAAAAATGAAAATATAATGCTATTTTATGCCCGTAATTGGAATATTTTTTTTAGTTTTTGTACAAATCAACAAAAAGGCAAGGTTTTGGCTATGAGTTTATGTCCTCGAAAACATTCAATATTTTTCTAGGCCTAAGCCAATATGCCTCACCAGATCTGACCAGAGTAGTTTTATTTTGTGGTCCCAAGCACACACAGTCCAACTTGTAAGTGGACACGTCTTTACCGTTACAACAAATGTCTTTACCGTTACCAAAAAAGACATCGAGTGCTAACGGTAAAGACACATTTTGCTTGGAAAAAAGAGAAAGAACAACATTCCCCTGAGACATTCCCATTCATGTTAAAAGATTTATAGCTTCTAGGTAGTAGTTCGATAAATTGCATTTTTTGATATAGGGAATTTATGTTAGGTAAAGTTGATCAGGCTGACCAGACCACACTCACTTTGCACCTGGTCCATGTGTGATGACACATTATTTGAATCAATTAGGTATAAACATGTTTCCACTCAACTGGATAATGAGCACCTCACACATAATCAGGGCTCACACTGTCGGTCGCAATTTGCGATAAAATTATGAAAGTGGCGATTAAATTTTCTTTTTGGCGATAAATCAATCAACTTGCTGATAATCCCAAACATGAGTACTACTAAACAATTGCCTGGGATTAATGGTTTGAACTGATTGATAATTGCCGGTAAATAAAGCCTATATCTAGTTATTCTTTATCATATTATTTAAACATAACAAATAGATTAGCGGTGACTATTTGATGTTGCGTGATTAAAACAACGGGGAGTAATAAAAATGGCCGATCATTGCCCGACAACTCTTTTCGTTTACTGTATGTGGCTTCATACGACATGAATTTAACAGCATGGCTAAATGGACATTATTATTTTATCCGCTCTGATGACGCCAAACATCAGTCAGTTGGACCTCCTGTTTTAACTTTATTATGACAAAGGGAGAAGACGACACGCCCTCTCGTCTCACGATAGCGAATTTATAAGTGTGCTTTAAGAAACTTTTGGTATCCGATGACCTTTTTCTTTCGTGTTTTTAACAGTTTTCAAGAGTAAATAATTTAATTCCATCAACCTGTCCATAATATCATATTCATTGTATTGGACGTTAAATCTTTAATAAACAACAACGACATTATTATTTCAAATTATATTATCACCATAGGTCGAAAACGAAAGAGCGAGTTGAATAACAATGATTCTGTAGTAAGAAAACTGTCTTCTTTTGTGTAATCCCCGCCAAAGTATTTTAAAGTTAACGAAGAGTCTGACGTTGGCTCCTCTAGAAGAAATGAAATTGACACTACGATGCTGATACCGTTACGGTATCCGAAATCAGGAATGGGCCTATCGTAGGCCTACACGCGGAACGAAAATTCAAAGAAAACTGGAAATTTGGCAATCCTTGGCTGAGATTTGACGTATACACGCAGAAAATGGTTTGTTCAATATGTGAAAATTCGAAAGTCAGCAATAGTTTTACACCTGGTTATACTGTTCTGAAGAAAGAAATTATTGACACTCACCTATCTGGAAAAGGTAAGCTGATTTATATGTTGATGAATTTATGTGAATGATTTATATGAGAATATCAATCCTGTCACAGAGTATCTACGACTCAATAATATCATTCCTGTCAGTAATGACAAAGTATTAAACAATTTTATTTTCCAGGTCCATCTAGCCACAAAGCAGCGGTAATGATTATTGAAAATGGCAATGACATGGCTAAGGCCAGAAAGAAATCGATGTCCAAATCAAAAGAAGCTGTATTATCAGCCATGAGAAATGTCCTGTTTATGGCAGAGCATGATTTACCCAACTCGCTACTGTCAGATTTGAATACACTCTGTTTACAAACAGGTAAGTTACCATGTTAGGAATGTTGTTAATAATTCAGAATGTAGATTTGAGGGAAAGGGGGATAGTGTTGTTTTAAATAAATTGTATAGATTATTTGATGTAAATTGTGATGTAGATCTGGGTTATGTTAGGTCATTAAGTAACTTTTTTTCAAACAATTGATCTTGATATTAATGACTATCAGATTGTTTCTTTCAGGGGTTATTTAAAATATGTTGATTGTCCGATGGGTAGTATTGATGATGTGTTTTAATCAAATTATGTTAATGTACATAAAATAGCTAGCAGTTTATTGTGTATTCCAGTTGCAACCGTTGATTTTGAACGAGGTTTTAGTAGACAAAATTTAATTAAAACAGCGAGCAGAAACTGTTTGAAACCAAACACAGTTTCAAATTTGATGTCCATCACTTTAACTAAGAATCAACCAGATCTCTATAAATCATTTTCCAATTGGGCTCATGTGAAGCAAAGAAGGATTTTGTAAATTGTAAATATATGGTTGTTTAAAAACGCATTAGTGTAAACGAGTATGTAAAATGATTAAAAGGCAACCATTGTGTCCGGACCCGTTCACATGCGGTGCAAACATTGCACGCGCTATCGGCCAATTAATGTATATGAACTTTATAAAGGTCAGTCATCTTATACAGAGGTATGAGAAGGTTTGAGCAATCCCAGTGTGCAACAGATTGCTACTGTCATTGAATGGTATGAAATCGGAGCGTGTTAGGCTAACTTTCTCTCAATATGAACTTTTTTTCTTCTGCAAATTAAATTCTAAAACAATTTATTATATTACTACGACAATAAGTAAAGGGGTTTGAAGTATATATCCTGATTTTAAAAAATATGTCCTATTTAGAGTAAATTATGGGTACATAAAATAATACGCGAAGGCGTTAAATGTGTGGACCAGTTTGTGTTACTACGCCCGATGTAAATCACGCACTTGCTATCAAGGCGGTATGTTGTGGCAGTTAGACCTATAATACTCGTGAACGCAAAAGGCCATGCAGTGATCTGCTACAGGTTTAAAGAAGGCATTCGCATTACCGCTATGAAATATATTGGGAAGGAGATTGTATGTTAAATTAGTAACCAACCGCGCGAATCATTTATTAATATCAACGGACTCAACCACTTCGAAGCGCCAATCGATGATACACAGTAATATAGTGATCAATTTTGGTTTTCGTGTAGGATAGATCCACGTCACTTGTCAGTATACATCCATCTATTTTCACTGCCGGAAATGAACTTACGGCAACGCCTTTTGTATCAGAAATAGAACAGAGGTGAAAAACAGATTTCATCAGCCTGTGTCGATTCTGCTTTTAGTTTTGGGTTTCATCCTTTAGCACCCAATTAAAACATTTGACTTTGTTTACTGGACAATCAGTACATCTTTATACAATTAAAACATTAGACGTTGTTTACGGGACACCGTACATACTTTATACAAATAATAAAATATGGTGAGTTGATACTTGATAAGCAATCTGTTTTTGAGAGGAATTGCAAAAGAGTTGTTGTATAAGGATGTAAGCGGCGGGTGCGAGTCGTTTCATCCAAAAACTTTTTCACCCCAGGCTGTTTCGGGCGATCATGTTTGATCCGACTCCCTTTTCTATTTCCATCACTTTTACATTCCATCACTGTGTCCACATGGAACTTCCTACTTTCTATGGTTAGGGTCAGGTATTTAAGATTAAAACCTATAAATTCAGGGACTTAGTGGTGGTGCCACAACAGTGAAATTTTGAGAAACAAAAATGGGAGTCACATCAAACATAAATGCCATTTCATCATCTTTGTTATTTTAATTGCAGTAACTAATGTTAATTTGAACGGACTTCGTGGCCATGGATAACAAAAACACATGATGCCTTTTTGTTAGAAATGGTTCCACTACTGATGTCTTTCGTCTTGCTCCAGCCACAGTAGTGGACCGTCGTCGTAAGGCCTTTCTTTGAGCAAGTTTTGTACTCAATTGACTAGATGCACAAAAACGTTACTGGCAAATTACTCCCTTAATTTCCAATAACACTGACCCCAAACTGTACTATACATAGATGAACATATAGTAAACCAATTCCCATTGAAATAAAGGTGAAACCATACCATATATGATTTGATTAAACCCAATGGCTATGATTACATGTCATTTCGGTCCCGCATCATTTCAGACTACCAAAAATATGTCCTCGACATTTGGGACTCGGGTAGGTGACGTTTCGGACTCGAGAAGATGACGTTTCGGACTCGGGTAGGCGGTATAGAATTATAAAACACTGACGTCAATTTACTTTATAAATTATTTTATTTTATTTAGAAATAGTAACATAGCATAAAACGATAACAATAATAACCATTTATAACAACGGGAATATTTATTTGATGAAATAATAGCTTCAGTCGGGTATTCATTTATAAAACAATCATTTATTGTATAAACATAGCATTTATAATAACGGGAATATTTATTTTATGAAATAATAGCGTCAGTCGGGTATTCATTTATTTTATGAAATTTTTTTTTTTTCAGTTTTCCATTTATTTTAGTTTTTTACTGTCGTTAGTGGGTAGACGGGCCATACAAATGGTACTGATATCTTTGTTGTTGTATTCTTCCCATAACTTAAACAGTTGGCCCTCAATATGACAATACCGGTTACTCTGGTGTCGTCTCAGCAATCCCTCGGACATCATTGTAATATCGAGGGGTATCTTTTCTGCTTCCGTAAACAATATGCATATCAATAGATAAAAAGGCACTGGACCCCTGGCGTTCACCCATGAATTTTTATTTTGTTGTGCCAGCCCTCGACGTCGTTATTTGTTCAAATTGGTTTCATGAAAACACACCAATCTTCTATAGGGAAGAGACTCTATGTTATCCACGTTTCCTCTACATACTGTAAGATTGGTTGTAGTTGTTCCGGGCACCTTTCGTATAGATGGGCAAACATGCCAGCAATATGTTCTTCTGGTAGGAAGGGAAGAGCCATTAGTCTACGTAGGTAGTTAAAAACATCCCCCTTTTCATTATAAAATAAAATATAAAAAAATAAAATATAAATAGACGAATATTGACATAAATCTATATAGGCTAACATTGAAATGTGGTTGAACCTGTAGTTTAAATTATTTATTGTTATTTTCTGTATTAAATACAAGTTGCAGTGTTTTTATTTCTTAAAACAACAATGGTTTCATTAATCACTCGATCAGATACAAAAATCGCCGATCAATTAGATACAGATTAAAGAATCTCGGCTTGGTTTAACTAATCAACAAAAGGTTAGTAGCGGTGTTTTGGCGATCAATAATCGTCAATAATCTAAACTTACTCATCAAAATACAGATTAAATGCAATGATCGCCGATCATTTAAATTAAACAATAATATTGGTTTTACTTCAAGTTCAATTGCGTATGGTCTGTATGGGATAAATAACGTGTGTAAGGTATGTATGGGATAAATAAAACACAACTAACAATGTTTAATTTTGTTTATTATTGTGAATGGTCTGTTTTCAGCCTCACCTAAAACGAAAGAAAAAACAGTTATTACAAATATATACATATAATTTTTCAGATTTTATTGAGTCCGAAACGTTGCCAGTCCGAGTCCGAAAAGCCGCCGAGTAAGTCCGAAATGACGTGCTACCACGGCTATGCCAAATTTCTGTTTAGTTTAAAATGGCTGCCAAACCAGAATCACGGGGTGTCATGTCACTCGAAAATACAGAAAAACTGTCCGTACGATAAGATTATGACTTCAATGTTCCACTCTTCACTATTTGTAACATAATTACTTATTGCCATGCAAACTGTGATATTTGTTGAAAATTTTGCAATTGAACCTAATTTTACTTGCTCAAAGCCTCGATTAGTGTATCAAATTGCAGCCGTAGATAAAACTTATCACATTTGCAACTACCTTTTGGTGAGTGATAAATATGTCATTGTAATTGTAAAATACCTTTTTAAAAAGAAGATAAACAATGTTAGACATCATAAACTAATCTTATCAAAAATGTTTATTCATCCATATCGCGTCAATTGTTGTCTAAACGTTAATGAACAATGTGTCACATCTAATCTTCAATTTGTATTCATTATCTCTACCCCCCTGGGGTGTAGGGGTGGTGGATGGTTGAATGGTTAGCACGTGCGTGCTGTATCATGAGGCCTGTCATTGAGTCAACTGGCGTGGTTTCGATTCCCCGGTTGTACATGACAAGGAGTAGGGTCGCCTGTCCAACCTCGTGGGTTTTCTCCGGATCCTCCGGTTTCCTCCCACTGCTAAAGACCCCTACACGCAAGTGAATTATTGAAATAAAAATAAACCATATGTTAGTCCCAAAATGACCTAGTTTTTGTCTAGTGGACGTTAAACCCCATTTCTCTCTCTCTCTCTCATTACCTCTAAAAAAATCATAATGCCAATCAACAAACAGTATGAGGCCACTTTATTACAAAAACGAAATGGTCGGTCAGCCAAAGGGGTCACGGTGGCTAAGTGGGTAAGACGCTGGCTCGCTAGCCTGGAAGTCGGGTGTTCGATCCCTGCATTAACCGAGGAAGTTCATCCAGATTTTCCGGCGTGGTTCCCCCTTGTCAGTGATGCAGGACGGAGGGCCTGACAAGGAGAACTGTCTAGTCCTTCGGATGAGACGGAAAACTGAGGTCCCGTGTATACATTGGAATGCACGTAAAAGATCCCTTTGCAGTTGGAATTCGATATAAGAGTAGGCGATAGTGCCGCTGCCCGGGCAAAATTTCCCTCATAGCACACTGTATGGCGTATGCCTGTCTTCCATAGCCCAGCATAGGAGCAGAACAGTAGGACATTAACCCAATTTCATTTCATTTCATTTATAGAGCTTTTATTTCAAAATGACAATATTTGTATTATGAGTGTTTTAGTGTTAAACAAAATATGGGATTGATGCTTCGAGAGTGAAAACAAATCATTTTAATAAATAGCAGTTTTCCCTAGTAATAATGTAACAGGATTTTTGTCTACATGAGGTTATCACTCAATTCCAGTGAATATAATCCTCTGCTTTTTAGGCAATTTAAAAGTGAAATGCTTTTCTTAAAATATAAAGAAAAACAGATGTTGTTAAGATTCCTGTAGGCTTTGCTAGCACTGGTAAATGGGAAATGCTTTAGAGGCTCTTTTGCAAAACTCCTTTTTTTTTTTTCCTTTTCCATTTCTGAATATTGATTTTTCCCATGAAAGTTGTTAACAGTTACCATTTATAAGTATTGCAAAAAATGTGAGATGTTGGCTCCCATGTTCCATCCCCTGGCTTGATGTGAAAATTACCCAGGATTTTACCACTATGTTTTCCCCTTGTCAGTTGTGCACATTGGCATTGAAATTTGAAATAAGAGTCAGCTATAGTGCAGCTGTATGGTGTACATGTGTATGCTGTCCTCACTAAAATTCACTATATCTTATCGCCACATTGAAATGCATGTATAGTTTATTAGATGGTGACTGTTTTTACGTTGGCCAAAGTAATCATTTATAAAATCATCTTTCTGTGGTTAGCACGCGCGCGCTGTATCATACGGTCTGTCATTGAGTCAACTGGTGGGGTTTCGATTCCCTGGTTGTACGTGACAAGGAGTAGTGTCACCTGTCCAACCTCGTGGGTTTTCTCCGGGCCCTCCGGTTTCCTCCCACTGCTAAAGACCCCTACGCGCAAGCGGATCATTGAAATAAAATTGAACTATGTGTTAGTCCCGAAATGACCTAGTTTGTGTCGAGTGGACGTTAAACCCCATTTCTCTCTCTCTCACCTTTCTGTTATGGGGGGTTGCATGGCCAAAAGGTTTGTCACCTGGTTCAATTTATGTAAAAGGGATTTTAGATTGTATTAAGGGATCAGTTTTATCGTGGACCAGTGTTAGAAGATATTCATTAAAATATATCACAATGTTATATCTTTAATATATTACAGGACACTAATGATGTCAAAACTTTTATATATTACAGGAAGCTAAAGATGTTATAATAACTTTTATATATTACCGGAAATCAAAGATGTTATAACTTTATATATAATAGGAAACTAATGATGTTATGATTTTTATATATTAAAGGAAAATAATGATGTTATAACTTTTATATATTACAGGAAACTAATGATGTTATAACTTTTATATATTACAGGAAATCAAAGGTGTTATAACTTTTATATATGATAGGAAACTAATGATGTTAATTTTTTTTATATATTACAGGAAACTAAAGATGTTATAACTTTTCACCAGTGTCTTGTATGTGAGGCAATTTTTCAACAATATGATGAGCTACAAAACCACAATGAAATTCATGTTAAAGAAGAGAAAACTGATGATGTAGATGAATATTGTCATGTCAAAGAAGAGAAAACTGATGATGTAGATGGATATTGTCTTGTTAAAGAAGAGATACCTGATGATGTAGAGGAACATAGTCATATTAAAGAAGAGAAAACTGATGATGTAGATGAATATTGTCTTGTTAAAGAAGAGAAAACTGCTGATGTAGATGAATATTGTCATGTTAAAGAAGAGAAAACTGAAGAAATTGAAATTGTTTATCAGTGTAAATTATGTAATGATGAATTTGAATTAGAAACTGATTTAGAAAAACACTGTGAAATACATGTTAAAAACGAAGATTCTGTTTTACAACATGGTGAAAATTTGGAGACAACTTTTAGCCAGTATAATGAAACAGAGATACAAAAACAAATAGGTTCTAAGAAACATTTAAAATGTGATATTTGTAATAAAACATTTAAAAAGAGCAGTCATCTACAGAGACACATGCGGCTTCATACCAGAGATAAAACTTTTAAATGTGATGTTTGTAGTAAATCATTTTCAAGAAGGTCGAATCTTCGGCAACATATGAAGATTCACCCAGGAGGCAAAGCTGTTAAATGTGATGTTTGTAGTGAACTATTTTTGAAGAATAGCCAACTACAAAGGCACATGGGACTACATACGGGAGAAAACCGTTATAAATGTGACTTTTGTAGTAAATCATATTCTAGACGGAAGAGCCTTCAAAAGCATTTAACTATTCACACGGGAGAAAAATCTCATGAATGTGATGTTTGTGGTGAAGCATTTAGTCATAATAGTAAACTACAAACACACATGGGAACTCATACTGGGAAAAAATCTTATAAATGTGATGTTTGTGGTAAATTATTCGCCAGGAAACGTGAGATACAGCAACACATGAGAACGCATACAGGCGAAAATCCTTACCAATGTAAAGTTTGTTGTAAATCGTTTACTTCGAGTCGTCCTCTACAAATGCACATGCAAATTCACACTACTTATACTGGACATAAGTGTGAAATTTGTAATAAGTCCTTCACTAACAGTAGTGATCTGCAGAGCCATATTGAAACTCACATAGGAGATAAAATTTATAAATGTGATATCTGCAATACATCATCGACCAACAGTAGTTACCTAAAGAGACACATGAAAATTCATACTGAAATAAAACCCTATAAATGTGATGTTTGTGATAAATCATTTACAAACACAGACAGTCTACAGAGGCACTTAAAAATTCATACTGGGGAACGATCTTATAAATGCGATATTTGCAATATGCCATTCACCAATAGCACTTACTTACAGAGACATAGGAGAAAAAGTCATACAGGTGAAAAGCCTCATCAGTGTGATGTTTGTAGTAAATCTTTTCCAGAACGAGGCAGTCTACAGAGGCATTTAAGGACTCACACGGGGGAGAAGCCTTTTAAATGTGATGTTTGTAGTAAATCATTTAACGATAGCAGTAATCTGCATGTACACATGAGGATTCACACAGGCGAGAAACCATTTGAGTGTGGGATTTGTAGTAAATCATTTAATCATAGAGGCGCTATGCTTATGCACTCAAAAACACATACTGGCGACAAACCTTTTACATGCTTTCTTTGTGAGAAATCCTTTTACAGAAATGACTTTCTTCAAAGACACATTATCAAGTCTCATTCTGGGGACAAACCATATAAGTAGTCTCTATTATCAAGTCTCATACTGGAGACAAACCATATAAGTAGTCTCTATTACCAAGTCTCATACTGGAGACAAACCATATAAGTAGTCTCTATTGTAATGATTATACCATTTGCCTTCTATCACTAGGGACCGGGTATCATTCAGATTTGATGAAAAAAGGAAAGAAACTGAGCTTACCATCTATAATCTAATACACATATTCAGTTAATAGATTGCCATGCAGAAAGTATTAAATACCATCAAGATTCCTCAAATAATGCCCAGTTTGTGCGTATGCCCGTCTGTATGGCGTATGCCCGTCTTCATTAGCCCAGTTTAGGAGCAGAACAGTAGGACGTTAAACCCCATTTCATTTCAGATTATAGATGGTAAGCTCAGTTTCTTTCCTTCTTTCATCAAATCTGAATGAAAGCCCGGTCGCTAGTGTATGTCATCCTCAATTCTGTATTTGTCATGTGATTTCGTTATTATTTCCAGTTGTATTTTCTCCGCTTCCATTGTTTACTATTTGTTATTATTATGGGCTATGTGCAGTTATCATGCGCAATTTTCATGTCGCTAGTCAAATTTTCACGCTCACGTAAATCACACTTCGCCATTAAATAACCAATAAACTATGCATTGTCTTGGATCGTCCTGAATGTGATTTACTCCCGAATACCTTATTTGTAAACTACAACATAATAGGCTGTTGTCGAGCTTGCATAACGTTGTTATTCATATTTTTCCTACAGCACAGCTATTTCCTTTCGCTTGTCAACCGGCATGGGGGAACTGAATTGCGAGACGTCACTTGGCATGCATGGCTAAACGCCGTCTTCTGATTGGCTAGTCCTTTTCCGCGGGTATTATAAATAGGAATCAGGTGGCTATTTTAGACAGACGCCTTTTCACAGCAGGTCTTGTCTCAACCAATTTTCAATATGGTAAGGATTACCGTGATTAAACAAGTTGTTACTTTCAAAACAAACTTGTTACAAGTTCGTGCTGCGACATTAGCATGCTAGTTCTAATCAATTACAAAGTTCATGTTACAAACATAACATAGGCCTAAATGTTTAAAAGCTAACATGTTGTAATCGGAACATGTTCATGTTGCATTCATAACAAACTTGTTGCATCCTTAACAAACTCGTATCACAAAGAATGGGTTTTCAGACACTTGCTGCTGTTCTTAATTCAACTAGCATAATATAATTATAAGCGAACATATAGTTTTACTATTTCAACTATTTATTGTAGATGTATTGTATGGGCTTGACAACCCACAGTTTGTGATAGGCATACACTACAACTTTTGAACTTGTTTAATTTATAACAGTAACAGTTCCACTTATAACGTGTCCCCATCCGTGACCTGCCTGATTTATTCTTATTTATAAATTATTACTATAGTAAATATAGCCTATTGCCTAGCTTACAAGCTTAAAGTAGCTAGTCCGTAACTCAATATCATCCAAAATCTTCAACATTGAAAACACAATTTTTTTTGCAATTTAAATTAGCATTGGTGGTGTGATCTTACCCGGAAAAGATGGGCTTCTGATATCCAATATTTAAGACAAAATAAACATTTTACCATTGGTACACGATTCGTGTACCATAATGCTTTTCAGCGCCATTGGTAACAAGGTGCTCAAAGAATGAGGCTAGACATATTCCCCAATCATGTCAAACGGTGATATCATGTTGTTATTTGAAGAGCATGCGCAATAAATAATATCGGTGTTGACTGGAATAACCAGGCGCTAGAAACTGACTTGCGGTTGAGACTTCTGGCTTATTTCGCCGAACATAACTGATGACAATTCACAGTAAAATGGACACGATTGAATGTAAAACAGTTTATATAAATTCATATTACATTATTATATGTGTTGCGACCCATTTGTGCCAATTTCTAGGTCCAAAATATTAGCGATTTAGCTCCTTTAATTGTAAAATATAGTATATTGCATGTATTTATAATTATTACACAGTATTAATATATATATCATTACAGTTTTTCTTTGAACTGTTAAATAAATTGTTGAGATTTCAAACTTGGCTTGTGTCAATCCTTCGATCGTAGTGCTAGGCTGGGAACAAACGATCCACATAAATATTTGTGTAGCACGTTTGCCTGGAAGCCTGTGGGGAAAGGGCGCGTTACAGCTTTAAGGGTCAGGGGGTCGAATCGCTACACTATCATTCAGATAAATATTAGTTTGGATGGTTTGTGAATTTGAGAATAATTAGGTCATTGGCTAGATTGTCTTTTAGGTTATCATGTACAAAATATGCTTTTTTCAGAGAGAATAATCCAATGAAAATAATTTAAAGGACAATATTGGTGTCAAGTCATTATCACATATGTGATAGAACTGGTTTAACACGTTCCAAATATAATTTTAACACAGAGATCATTGCTATCACATTTGTGATAATGACTGACACCAATATTGTCCTTTAAGAAAAACCATTTCAGAAAAATCTATTTGCATTGCCTGTTCAAGATCTAACACTCCCACATGTAAATATGTTATTGTAAAATTTCTCTCTTTAATGATTACGTATATCGATGGTTTTTATTAATCCTAATTCGTCATCACGATTCATGTTTGTTTAAAATAATGCAAAAAATCATGGGATTTATTTTTGGAAGGGTTATAATTGTTTCTTGACATAAAGCTAAATGTTTAGTTGCCCATGCGTAGCCGTAGTTTGTTTTGTACATGTATATGGGTGATTATCCAGTAAAATGTCGTCAAATGTGGATATCTGACGCAAAAAACATCATCAAAACTCATACTGGAAGGAAAACATCCATGTAAGTGTAAATGTGTGATAGTCTACAAATACCGGTACACAAAAGACGTCAGACATGGAATGAAACCCTAATAATATGGTATTTCTAGTAAATTATTCACTATGAGTGGAACTTATACAGGAGAAGAAGGCAATTCCGATTATTAAAAGAAAGTGCAATATCACTGCAACCGATAGGCAAATTTTTATCAATGTTTATACCGTTGGACAGAGTAGCTCAAGGGAAAATGATTGAATCTCAAAATTTCATGGCATCCTTATTTTTGGTGAAGTTGTAATATTGGTATTTCAAATTGAAATTCAGTATGCATCTAAATGGGGCAGTTTTACATTTTTCGCACATCGATCTGTTTTTCCGCAATCAAACTTACAGAAGATAATTTTTTTTTTTTTTTTTTTTTACTAATAAGAATACATGCATTGAATTGTGTGGAATTCCAGATCTCGTCAAGACGATCACAAATATATTTTTATATTGTTTCTACATTGAACCTTTTCCTTTTGTTGAACTTGCCCCAGTTGAGGGGGGTGTATTATAAGGTCTGTCATTGAGTCAACTGCCTTGGTTTTGATTCACCGGTTGTAGGAGAAGGGTCGCTTGTCCAACCTCATGGGTTTTCTGCGAGTCCTTCGGTTTCCTCCCACTGTTACAGACCCATACGTGCAGGCAAATTATTTGAATAAAATTGAACCATATGTTGGTCTCGAAATGACATAGTTTGTGTCGAGTGGACATTATACCCCATTTCTGCCTCTCTCTATACTCAGTTGAAATGTTAGAATATCTATCTATATGTCCGAAGCACATCAGTACTTCTTTGCAGTTCTAGTATCATATTGTTTCTACATTGAGCCCATTGTCCTTTTGTTGAATTTGTCCCAGAACCATATTATCTGCTGTCAACGCTTAGTTGAAATGTTAGAATATCTATCTCTATACCAAAACACATCAGTATATAGCAGTTCTAGTTCTAATTGTTTGGGAGTCAAGGTGGCTAAGTGGGTAAGACGCTGGCTCACCCCCCGCATTGGCCGAGAAAGTTCATGATGATTTTCCGGTGTGGTTTCCTCTTGTCAGTGGTGCAGGACAGAGGGCCTGACAAGGACAGCAGTCTAGTCGTCGGATGGGGCAAATAAACTGTAGTCCTGTGTACACATAAAAGATCTCCTGGCAGTTGGAATTTGATTATAAGACTAGGCCTTGTCGCACACTGTATGGCGTATGTTTGTTAAACCCCATTTCGTTTCATTTCATTTCCCAACATCTTCACACTTGGTTTTGACTTTGGAAGAGTAGATAAGTTCAAGCGGTTTATTGATTGGTCAAAAGTACAAAATCACTTCATAAAGATAAGGGTGGAACCTCTCACAAGACCCTGCTAATGCCAAAACTTTTTTTTTCTGTCTGGGAATATTCCCACTCTTCATCTGACAAACTGTTACTTGCATAACATATTACTCGGTTCTCGCCATTCCAACTCAAATCCCCCATCATACAGGAATTGTAGGAAAACTTATTGTAAAATAAACGATAAAGGAGTGACTGATCTTTTAAGAGGCATTATGGGAGATTAGATAAAGAGTTGACAGTCCTATAATATACGATCGTTAAAAAATAGATAACGTAAATAGAATATGCTCCACTCTGAACAAAGATTTTAGTTTTTGAATTTTCGGCTAGCCTCAATCATCATTACTAAAGTCGGTTCAATAAAAACTAAAGTTTCGATTATCCATTTTACATTAATTATTTTTCAAAAAATGTATTCCAATTCGCTGAATATCGCAGGCTAGCGATGTCATCGAGAGTTGATTATGGTCTGGATATGTTAATTAATGTCTAATTAATAATTTAGATAACATTTCAGGCCTAAAGAAAGACCTGCAATAGATAACATAAGTAGAATATGCTAAATTAGCTTTTGAATGTTAGGCTAACCTCGATCATCATTACTAAAGTCAGTACCATAAAATAAAATAAAAAGTCTTGATTATCCATTTTTACACTTAATCATCCTTCACAAAATGTATTCCAATCTGCTAAATACCGCACGCTAGCAATGGCATCAAGAGTTGGTTATGGTCTGGATAAGTTTATTAATGTCCAACTGAAAATTTAAATAACACAGTTCATCGCGTGCATTTTGCATACCGATAGTTCATTGGCCAATCACGCTATTTTACTGACATTTCGCCTAATAGTTTGGATGCAGCTATGGCGGGTGTGGCGCCAGGCAGGGTAAGCTTACTCTCCCGGACACCTGTTACCACTGTTTGTCGTGTAATTTGTACACGAGGAGCAGTCCATTTGCTGATTACACTATTTTTCTTGAATATACTATTTTGCCTATAACGTTTTTTAGGACTTCGAATTCTGTCTTATGGTTTGGATTGTTCGTACTTGGTTTTATTTTATAGTATTACATTACACCTAATATTGAAATATTCCGGCAAAATATGACCGCCATTATGATTATTGTGGTCAGATTGGAACACGTATTGTTCGGAACATATTTTTTTATATCTGTATTAGGTGACCTGTAAACCTATGTTTCAATATATTACACACCTATATAGGGGACGTAATGAATATCCAGTGACAGAAGAACACAATCTTGATTGTACAGTGAGATAAGAATATCATTCTTGATTATCCAGTGAGAAAGGAACACATTCTTGATTGTCCAGAATGAGGAAGAAAGAGGTTTTAGTTTTACAGGACACAAACTAGTTAATTTCTGGACAAAGACGAAGTATGGTTTAATTTTATTTTAATCATTTGCTTGAATGTAGGGGTAATTAGCACTGGGAGGAAACCGGTTTGTTGAAAAGTTAAATTGTTTAAAGTTACAATTTCATATTTTCTAAGAAAGTCAAAACATAATTATTTTTATGTCTTTTGCTCAATAGGTTGTCAACTCACTATTATACGATCTTTCTCACACTTAAAAATCTTCACACTGGAAATAATAACACAATTACCTCCGAATTACCTCCCTTGTTTTCTATTCCCCACCATGGAATAGCTATCTTCAAACGTTTGAATTTGAAAATGATATTTTTGCCAATTTCTCAACTGGCATAGGATTATTCTTTAACAAGGTAGGACTGTTTATAGATACCATCTATTTTAGGGCTTTATTTTAATACATTTTAAAAATATAACTTAAAAAATATGAAATTGTAACTTTAAAGGAGGTACATGTAACTTTAGACGATGTGCCACGGTGGCTCAGTGAGTAAAATGTTGGCTCGCTAACCTGTAAATCCTGCCCAGTCAGAGCAGAACAGTAGGACATTAAACCCCATTTCATTTCATTTCGATCCCTGCATGGTTCCCCCTTGTCAGTGTTGCAGGACAGAGGGCCTGACAAGGAAAAAAACGTATGGGACAAAAAATCAAGGTCCTGTGAACACATTTGCACATAAAAGATCCCTTGGCAGTTAGAATTTAATAGAAGAGTAGGCTGTGGCAAAAATTCACCCATAGTCACTGTATGGTGCATTCCTGTTGGAGCAGAACAGTACGACATTAAAACACATTTCATTTCAGTTGTGAAAGAATAATGATTTTATTAATTTAGTAACTAAATAATACATAGTTATGGTAAACAGCTGACAAAATTTCCCCCCATAGTACACCGCAGGGTTGATATTTCAAAATTTTTCTTTTCAGGCATTTTTACCAAGAAGATGGATTCAGACCACAATTAAAAATCATGTGTCTACAAAATTTTCAAAATCATACGTAATAAAAAAACAACAATCTATAAATTAATTTTTTTATTTTTTTCAGGTAAGTTCCATATGATCATTTATTCAACACCAACAACAGAAGGACACAATACAGATCAATATGTTATTTTACTGTAGATCTAGCTGACCCTCATACAATAAAGGATTTTAAGTTCATTTCCAGTTTAAGTAGTGAGGCGGTTTGTTAATTTGGTTTCTTTATTAAATTCTGTTTAGAAAAGCCCCTTTCACAGTCCACACTGGAGACCTGCAAAACGTATCTGATCTACATCTGCGAAATACAATTTAGAAATTGATCCGACAACGCAGAACGGACACATTTCTCAAGGAAAATACTAAAAATGTGGATAGGGGTTGGTACTAGGGAAATCTGTCTTCTATATTCCTGGTCGGACATGTTAGTCCCGAAATGACCTAGTTTGTGTCGAGTGGACATTTAACCCCATTTCTCTCGCCTCTGCTACTGTTTTGATACATCACTGTAGACTGCAGATTATAACATATTGTCTCTACTACGTGTTTAGATGTGTCTATGTAGATTACATATTATAAGATATTGTCTCTACTATGCGTTCTGATGTGTCTCTGTAGACTACATATTATAACATATTGTCTCAACTATGTGTTTTGATGTGTCTCTGTAGACTACAGATTATAACATACATGTATTGTCTCAGCGTTCTGATGTGTCTCTGTAGATTACATATTATAAGATATTGTCTCTAAAATGCATTCTGATGTGTCTCTGTAGATTACATATTATAACATATTGTCTCTACTATGTGTTTTGATGTGTCTCTGTAGACTACGGTTATCTAAAAATCCTTTATCACAAACACCACATCTATATGGTTTATCCCCAGTATGAATTCTAATATGTTTCTTCAAATAGTCGCTGTTTGTAAATGATTTATCACAGACATCACATTTATAAGGTCTCTCTGCCGTATGGGTTGAGATATGCCGCTGTAGATTACGTCGACTGGGAAATGATTTACTACAAACACCACATTCAAAAAGTTTGGATGGTCTTTCTCCCGTGTGAGTCTTTATGTGGGATTGTAGATGAGAACTTTGGCTGAACAATTTACCACAAACATCACAATTAAACGGCTTCTCACCAGAATGGATTCTCATGTGACTCTGTACATTGCGACTATCTAAAAATGATTTACTACAAACACCACATTTGTAACGTTTATCGCCTGTATGGGTTCGCTTGTGCTGCTGTAAATAACTCTTTTGTGCAAATGATTTACCACAAACATCACATTTATAAGGTTTATCGCCTGTATGAATCTGCATGTGATTTTTCAGTTTATTACTTACGATAAATGATTTACTACAAACTCCACATTTAAAGCATTTTTCGCCTGTGTGGGTTCTTTTGTGTACGATAAGATGACTACTTTCGCGATATGATTTATCACAAACATCACATTTATATGGCTTCTCACCCGTATGCGTTCTCTTATGTTCTCTTAGATGACCACTCATGTTGAAAGATTTACTACAAACATCACATTTATATGGCTTCTGGCCCGTATGAATTCTTATGTGTATTTGAAGATAAGAACTTGAATGAAAGGATTGTTCACAAATCTTACATGTGAAGGGTTTTATTCCAGTATGACTTCTTTTGTGTCTCTCGAGGCGAAATCTGTTCACAAATGATTTGCAGCAAATATCACAACTGTAAAGTTTTTCTTCCGAGTGAATTTTCAAGTGTTTTTTAAGTTCAGATTGGTTAATAAATGGCTTACTACATAGATTGCATAATATACTCTCTGCAGAAGAACCTGTTTCTTGTTGTACCTTAGTTTCATTATACTGGTTAAAACTTGTCTCCCAATTTTTACCATGTTGTAAAACAGGCTCCTCTTCTGTATGATGTTTTCCACAGTGTTTTTCTAAATCAGTATCTAATTCAAATTTCTCATCACACAAATTACACTGATGCAATGTTTCAATATCATCAGTTTTCTCTTCTTTAACATGACAATATTCATCAACATCATCAGATATCTCTTGTTTAATATGACAATATTCATTTATTTTCTCATCTTTAACGCGACAATGTTCATCTACATCATCAGTTTTCTCTTCTTTAACATGTATTTTATTATGTTTTTCTAAATCATCATATTGTTGAAAAATCTCATCACATACAACACACTGATGAAAGGTTTTTAAATCATTGGTCTCCTGTAATATATAAATGTTAAAACATCATTAGTGTCATCTAATATATAACCATTATATGAACAGTAGGATCCAGTTTTCTCCGGCCCCGATGCTCTCACTTACTGCTAAAAAACCCTATGCGCATGGTATTGAAATAAAATTGAAAAATTATGTTAGTTCTGAATTGACCTACACATGTAGTTTATGTCTAGTGGGCATTAAACTCTCTCTCTCTCTCTCTCATCGCTATTGAAGAAAACATCTACTATCTTTGAGCAACTACGTTTTCAAACAAATAAAAAAACAATCAGCCTTACCCCACTATGGAAAATGATGATCAGGATCCGTAATACAGATATGTATATATTATGTGCATGCACGGAGTCAATTTTACAAAATTGGATTTTTGCACAAGACATAACTTACCCATTGATGGCCTGTATTTGGAGAGAAAGAGAGAGAGAGAGAGAGAAATGGGGTTTAATGTCAGTGGTCCACTCAACACAAAATAGGTCATTTCGGGACTAACATGTGGTTTTAATTTTATTTCAATAATTCGCTTGCGCGTAGGGATCTTTAGCAGTGGGAGGAAACCGGAGGACCCGGAGAAAACCCACGAGGTTGGACAGGCGACCCTACTCCTTGTCACGTACAACCAGAGATTCAAAACCACGCCAGTTGACTCAATGACAGGCCTTATGATACAGCACGCATGTGCTAACCATTCGGCCATCCAACCCCCCACCTGTATTTGGACATTGGATATTGTGTAGTTGTGTTGTTTTATTGGGAGTTTCTGTATCTAATGATCAGTTTCAAACCAATTGATGTCTAACTAATTGTAGTGCATCACATTGTCACACAAACCAACTCACCATTTTTCTGTATTTGTAGGCTGTATATTTATACGCTATAGCTGGCCTGGGTGACGATTGTTTATAGTTCAGACTGTATATTTATAGTTGGTCTTGGTGACGACTGTTAATCCGGTTTATCTGATATGGTTATAACGTCACATCAAGACTGCAAAGATGGAAATTATTTGGATTAGAAATAATGAATATATCGACAAGTGAATACATACTTTAGTTACCCAAAAATCAACTAAATCGCGCCGGATCCCCTTGTAGATAAGACAAATTAGATTTGATATTATTTCGGCACCCCGCCATTTCGGACTCAGTTTGACAACTTTTCGGACTCTGTCTGGTGGCATTTCGGACTCCGGTTTCGGACTGTTGAAAATTTGTGTGATATATTTAATTATTAGTAAAAGTGGTTTTTTTTTTGTTTTATGTGAGGCTTATAATATAGTTGCCTTTTGTTTTATAAGGATGTAAACGGTTACTCGGTTGACCGGTTACGGTTCGGTTCTGCAACCAGACCGGTTCGATATTCCTGTGACCGTTATTCGTTCTATATAACAATGTCAGTGTATATCGACCTAGTAGTAAACTAGCATTAGCCCAGGCTCTCTTGTTCATATTACACGTTGATACAAAAATTTCCCGGTAATAAAACGGTCGTATTCGCTGCTCGAAAACGTAGTAGAAAAATTATGCCGTAAACAAAGTATCTTTCGTCCCTCTGGCATGTGGCCAAATGGTATAATCTTTTCGTCATTTCATTGGCTCGATGGGGTCACATGTTCAGTCACGTGTGGTAAACATACAAATTTTATAGTATTAGCTTTTAATACGGCAATATTTATAAATATAAATTATGTAAGTTATAATAATGTTTTGACCGTGATCTAAGACTCTCCAGAAAAGAGCGACTTATTGCGTTGTATCTTCGGGCTGGGTAATCTTGACTACAGGTTGACTATTAAATGCGTATGAAAATGAAAGTAATGCCGTGCGCGTGAATAAAGACGTCGAATTAAATATTTTATTAATGGATTACATTATAACATTGCACATTGAGATGGAGGTAGGTGGGGCCATAGAATATTCCTATATTTATAACGGGTCGAACACTAATAATATTGTATCAATTTTCCGATCTGTCACACAACGGCATGTGCTACTGGGCGAGTGACGACCACGTGAGACCATGACCTTTTTGACTGTTAGACGACGCAATGTTTCCTTCCGAGAAATTTGAATGAAAAACAAAATAAGCTGCAATAAATAAACTCTTCTTATATTCAAAACGAAGTTAAACAGTGTGAAAAAGTAAACTTTAATCCTGCGTACGGTCCGGCGATTAATAACTCCGCAACTAAAAAGTGAATCGGTTGACCGGTCACGGTCGGTTTTTTGCCCATCGGTTAACCGGTTCAATTTTTTTTGACTCGTTACATCCTTATTGTTTTATATCATGAAATTAAACTATGTCGTGTGGATGTGTCAACCAATGCCTTGTGGATAACTAAACCACGAGTTTTGATATTTGTGGACGACTAAAACCAGACTTTTTGTGTACGAGTGAACTGGCATTCCTCAGGATGACGTCTGGCGTTTTAAAACACGAGATAACACGTAGTAATGCGGCTTGGAAAATGGGAGAATACGTACCGATATTAGCTTTTAACTAACACAGATCCATGTTCAGACTACCACCTACACGTAGCCCACTGTTTAATTAGAAAATTGATCTGAAAGAAAAAACATTCAATGAAAATTCCGTCCTTTCTTCTATGTTTTGCGAGTATGGTCAGTTCATTTCCGGCGAAGCACAGAAATTGTTGTATACTGATTTGAGACCTAGATCTACCAAACACGAAAAACTCACAATCAACGGTTTGGGTAGTCAATATCAGTTTGTACTAATTCTTTCTACATCATTTTTGGGTTCAATTGTGTACCTCACATTTCCCCCCCCCCCCCAAAAAAAAAAAAATAAATAAAGTAATGATAGTATCTTGCTTTGAGACAGACCACCAAACACGATAAACTCACAATGTACGGGTCTTTTTCTACAGCAGTTTTTGTTCATTTTTTTATGCTATATATTTCACAAAAATATAGAGTTGGTTGTATATTGATTTGAAACTTAGACCATCAAACACGTAACCTCACAATGAACTAATTAACAACAGAATGGTCAAAATTAATCCGATTGCTGCTCTTCACTGATCATGCGACAGGGGCATGAAAGATGTCTTCAAGACCTCAAGCTCACAATTTAGGCAACTCTCAGCAGTTTCAAACCAACCACTCACTTTTTTTATTCACCACTGGTTAAATAGACAAGCCCCCCCTCCCCTTCTAAGGCTACTTTTAAACTTATCCCCGCCCACCCTTAGTTCCTTACACCGTTCCTGATCGTCCCTATTGCAAGATAAAAATTATACGTTCTACCACCACCTATGTTTAAGGCTAAATTGGAATCCTTACCTTCTATTTTTCAATGTGATCCTTCTTTATTCTCCAAAAGGAATAATTTCTCACCAAATTTGGCACTAATTTATTATAATTCACTGTTCAAGTAGAATTTTGCAATTAAAAATCATAAAGATAATATGCTTTCCATATGGGGAAGGGCGTTTCATGAAATGAAATGGGGTTTAACGTCCTACTGTTCTGCTCCGACCGGGATAATGAAGTGTCTTACCTACCTACTTAGCCACCGTGACCCCCAAGGCGTTTCATAATGGCGGACCAACTTAAACGGAATGACCCGTTCAGCACCAGCATATCATAATTTTTGAGTTACTCGGGTGTTCTTTGGATCCACGTCTCAAAACAATATTCAACTATCATCTTCAATGTACCGGAAATGGACATAGAACAATTGCGAACGATTTGTCTCACTCGGCAAACCTCGGTAGGGTTCTGGAATCTGTTGAGGTTTGCCGAGTGCGATTTGTCTTTCTTTCCATGGGATTGAACCAATACAAAATTAAAAACACAAACCGCGTATCGTGAAAAATTGATGGAGAATCGTTAGAAAATGTATCTGAAGCAGTGTTATTAGAACTTACTGTTGACCAAAATTTAGATCGGTACGATAAAAAAAACAAAGTCTCGATTATCCACTTTTACGAGTATTAGCCTATATTAAGTATTTATTTTAAAAAGAAATGTATTCCAATCCGCAAAATATCGCAGGCTAGCGATGGCATCGAGAGTTGATTATGGTCTGGATAAGTTAATTAATGTCTTATTAATAATTTAGACAAAATTTCAGGCCTAAAGAAAGACCTGCAGATTTAGCTCTTGCATGATGTATGTTTAATGCATGGAACGTCTTAAAAATAAGTTCTGTCTAACATTCGTTCGTTCGTTTCTAGAGTTTTACGTCCACTTCCACCTAAGGTGATACTATGATACCTAAGGTGATATCGTAGACAAATCTGTCTAACAAATACCAATTATAATACATTTCATATTGTGATGCATTATGGGAGTTACCATGCAACAACTAGATACAAGTATAAGACATTTCCCATTGTGATGCATTACAATATATAATTTGAAACTGATAAGATAAAATTTTATATAATATGAGTGGTGTCACTTTAGATATTGTTATCATGAAATAAATCTAAATGTCATATATCACCTAATTTGTAATCCTCTTTTATTGATGACATGGTAATGAATTCTAAAAAGACAAAAGCCATGCTAATAGCTTCAAAACACCAAACAAACACAAACAACTTATTAAAGATTAGTGGAGAATCATTAGAAAAAGTATCTGAAGCAGTGTTATTAGGACTTGCCGTTAACCAAAATTTAGATTGAAATCTCCAAAATAGCAAAATTTCCAAAATCATATCCTCCAAAATCTACCTCCCGACAAAGTTGAAACCTTAAGGACAACATCTAAGAATTTTATTTTTCAACGCCTATATTTCACCATACTTTGATTACTGTACCACAGTTTGAGGTAATGCCAATAAATGTAAACTAGAGATTCTGTATAAACTTAAAAAATGTGGGCCAAGGAGCATTTTGGATAAAAAAAAAAACCCGATTCACATTCGGCACCTTTATTTGAATCTCTAATTTGGCTCACAATCAAACAACGCATTCCATACAACCAAGGAATGCTCACCTTCAAAATTCTAAAGCCCCATTTACTCTTGACCCCAATAAGTGTGCTGTTCTCGGCACGAAACCAAGACACGATAAATTTCAAGAAATGGACCTGTTTACATTACTCTAAAATAACCGGCCTCGGAACCATGCCAGACACGGCCAAATGTGGAACTCTTCACACAAAAGTTAATTTCAGTCCCTGTGCAAATTACCCAGATGAAAAGAATTATGGCGGTAAATTTAGTTTGGGCAGCCATTTTGACAGAACTGTCAAAGTGCGAGGGAAAAAAGGTGAAGGTTCTTTTGCCGCATGTGCAGTAATCCGTACTGAGAACCGTTCTCAGACCGGATAGCATTTACACTACGAAAATTAATCTTGCTGTGCCTGGCACCATGCCGAGACCACCCCACTTCAGTGCGCCAAAATGGCACTGTACACAATACGACACGCTTCTGTTTGACCCGTTGACACTACTTAAAATTTGTAATGTGAAGGGGGTTTATGAGACAATTAATTACCATCATATTTATATAACACATACTGTGAAAATTCTAAATTGACCAAAACTACCATGACATTGAGATCATAAAGTCAATTTATTAGCAATCCAAAAAAGTAAGGAAAGGGCAATGACAAGAACATTCCAAAATACATATACATGTACCACTTCTTTATTCTGGATTTCACTACCTCAAACTGTGAAACATGCGTCTTCACGTTTTATCTTCAAAAAGGAGTTAATAAAACATGTCAAATCTTTTTAACCCTTGTTAATTGAATTTAACAGTGGTAATTGATATGCCCATACTGGATTTAAGGGTTGAATTACTTATAGACTCTAATTATAGGTGATCCCTTTTGGAATTCAGTTCCGGAGATGTTTTGTCTTCCCCTTGTAAGAGCATTTGGGAAATTTATGGGAATTACCCCTGAAAAGTCCAGTTCTGTTCCACATTTCTTTATGAAATTAGTGATGACACAATTACCAACTGACATACATCAAGTCAATACATTTTTTTTTCATGAATATGTTAAAATAATATATTGTTTTGCCTTTTTTCAGGATATACTGGTTGGAATCAAAGGCAGCTTGCTTCAACCAATGGAATTGTTACTTCGCCTTGGACTTCTAATGTTGTGATTTCCTAATTAAATCAAACTACAACCGTTTCTCAGGTTTGACATGGAACTTCTATTCTTCTAAACAAGACAAAATAGCAATCAGTTCTCTAAATGTGAGATAGGTAGTGTCCCAATCTGATTAAAATACAGATCTATATTTCGTTTCGTTTTTTTTATACTTTCGATGGCCTACACTACATGAAGATCTGACCGGTTCTAGTGGAAGGGGGGATCACGGTGGCTAAGTGGGTAAGATGCTGGTTCGCTAGCCTGGAGGTCGGATGTTCGATCCCCCTTGTTAGTGATGTAGGAACGAGGGCCTGACAAGGACAGCTGTCTAGTCGTTCGGAAGGTACGAAAAACCGAGGTCCCGTGTACACATATGCATGCACGTAAAAGATCCCTTGACAGTTGGAATTCGATATAAGAGTAGGCCGCGTAGTGCAACTGTCCGGGCAAAATTTCCCTCATAGCCCACTGTATGTCGTATGCCCGTCGTCACTAGCCCAGTTCGAAGCAGAACAGTAGGACGTTAAACCCATTTCATTTCATTTCTAGTGGAAAGTCGCGTCAGGGGTCGTACCAGCTGTTTTTGACCCTTTGTGATGTCAGACATTGATTAATCAATCAGCGTTGACATTACTAATGGTTTACACACAGTTCCGTGCATTGCATGCCAAGAAATCGCCGTAACAGGCTGTTTCATTGGCTAATTCCTCACTTCAACCAGAATGTATATTATATAACAACTCTTCCAGATCCTAGTGTTGTGAAGACATGTAAAACGAAATTTTGAACTAGAAAAAACGAAACGAAATAGGATCTGTGTTTTAATCATATTGGGTAGTGTCCCAACTGGAGTGTGCTATGAGAGAAACTTTGGCCGTACAGCAGCATTACGGCTACTCTTACTTCAAATTTCAATTGGCAAGGGTTCTTTTATGTGTAGGGGGGTTGGATGGCTGAATGGTTAGCGTGCGCGCGGTGTATCATAAAGTCTGTCATTGAGTTGACTGGCGTGGTTTCGAATCCCCGGTTGTACGTGACAAGGAGTAGGGTCGCCTGTCCAACCTTGTGGGTTTTCTCCGGGTCCTCCGGTTTCCTCCCACTGCTAAAGACCCCTATGCGCAAGCGAATTATTGAAATAAAATTAAACCATATGTTAATGTTAGTCCCAAAATGACCTAGTTGTGTCGAGTGGATGTTAAACCCCATTTCTCCCTTTCCTTTTATGTGTACACAGGACCTATACTTTCTCCCTTGCTAGGCCCTCTGCACTGCATCATTGATAAGGGGGGAACCACACCAGAAAATGTAGATGGACTTTCTCGGCAAATACCAGGATTGTACATGCAACATCCAAGTTAATGATCCAGCATATTACTCACTCTCACTGGATCATGACAGCTTAAATTAAGAATCGCATGACTTTAATTATTATTATATCTTGCGTCTGTTTGCATCGTCTTGTTGCTTTATTGGTTTTATTCACAAAAATGAAACTAGAAGCCAAGTTTTATTTATCTATTTATTTATTTACAGGAAAGAAAATCACATATGTAAATAACAGATTAGACAAGGGTAAACTGTTGAAATACTGTTAAACATGATGGATTTGGATTTGGAAAAGCTGAGGTTTGTTGCTGTTTTGGGGGTTTTTTTTGGTTGTATGGCCTAATATTAAATTGCAATTAGGCACATTATGAATGCCCTGTATATGTGTCTGGGAATCCTTACCAAAGTAAGCATGCAGGTGAATCTACACAAAATATCTGTGGTTCTATGTACATGTAGCATTGCAATGCCGTACCATACAAACACAAATGTTTTCTCCAAGTGCATACCTTGATTGCAATACTGTACTGTCCATTAATTTAAGAACGACCCCTACATGTATTAACCCATTTTTGACAATAGCGTATCAGCTCGCACGCGTTGACTCAGGGTAGCGAATCAACTCGCGTACCCATCATGCTTGGCAATGTCATTTAGGAGATAAACACCGACTGTTTAGAATTTAGAGGACTGTTATTGTCCATTTGATACCGCTTAAATCATTAGTGGCCAAGATATTATCTTTCAAATACACTCACTAACTTTGTTTTTTTGTGTTTCAGGTGTGTGTTTCAATAAGGCCGTGTTGAATTGATTCCTTGTTTCTCCTGCCACCACTCTGGCAATCATGTGCGGTAGTGCGGTAAACACAACACAAAGTGGGTTTCAAAACACAAAGTGGTCTGGCATAATACCTATATAGTCTGAGGGTTGTGTACCATTTTTAATAATATTATAAATAATCTAGTTATATTATTGGTTAGAATAAAAACACAGATAATATTTAATTAAATAAATTTAATAACAAACTAAAATTTGGTAACAAGTGGCTTCTTTGTTTAACTTTTTAAAAAATGAAATAACCATATTTTGATATAAATTTTCCGTATTCTTGTGTTAAAATACAATGGAAACATTCCAGTTATGATTTGATTCGCTTGTTGAGTTCTAGATGGTTTCGATAATATCATCGAACGTGAAAGTGCTGGGAATAACCACCAAAGTCGAGTCGAGATAAGTAAATTCGCGTACCGGTCGGCCTAATTTATTTATTGATGTTCAAGGAAATAATAGTGGTCCCGTTTGTTCGTTCGTTTGTTAAACTCAAGAAACGAGCGAACGGGGCCACTATTATTTCCTTGAACATCAATAAATTAGGCCGACCGGTACGCGAATTTACCTATGTCCCGGCATAGCTCACCATTTTGTAAGGCGTGCGTTATTTATTACACAAGATATGATTGAGTAATACTTGAATAATAATGACATGAGTTATAATTTTAGCCAATGAAAAAATTGATTATTCAGGTTCGCGGTTGAATATTAGCGATTGTCTTACAGTTTATAATATGCTTTCTCATTAGCCGAAATGACTGCTACACGCGCCATTTTGCGGAATTCATCCAATCATATACAGTGTAACTTATTCCATAGCATGCGGGCCCCTACATGTGTATTATCAACCGGATCCATTCACTTGATTTGATATTTGTTTATTCGGTGCAATGCCTATTTTCTGTCTTGTCCGCAGGTTTATCTTGTAGATTTTTGTTTTGCGTGTAGTGCGGCCCCCTGCACTTACTTATTTCGTTCGTAACGAGGAATAAACAACGAGAATTGACTTCTGATGTTTGGTAGAATTTTATTTAGATGTTATTAACGTAATTTTTTGAATATTTTTTTTGGTGTTAAAAACGTAAGCGCACGATTTTCGGGGTCCTCGACCTAAGCGCGCGGGCGAGGAGAAACAAGGAATCAATTCAACACGGCCTAAGCCAATGGTTGAATTTCATTGTTGATGACATACAAGAAAAAATTCATGAAGATTTCCTAGAATAATGTTTTGAGGTGTAGAATTTTTGGCCACTGCAAACAGAGTCTAGCACCCAGAAAATATTCATTCGCAGTGAGTCGACCAGGAAATTTAGAGGACTGTTATACTCATTCGACGCCACTTTTCGACCAATCAGAATCCAAGAAATTTCCATTTTGGGCTACAATAGCGAGCAAAAGCGCAAAATAAATCAACTGATATAAAAAACATGGGGATGATAGTCAATACTGACAATTTTTACACAAGTCCAGCTCTTTTCAAGGAACGACTAGAAGACGGAATAAAAGCACGGGGCACATGCTGAATGAATAGAAAACACTGGCCAGCAGAGGTCACCAAAAAATCAGTAAAAAAAGAAGGAGACAGTGTAATTGTCCAAGATACCGCTTAAATCATTAGTGGCCAAGATATTATCTTTCAAATACACTCACTAACTTTGTTTTTTTGTGTTTCAGGTGTGTGTTTCAATAAGCCAATGGTTGAATTTCATTGTTGATGACATACAAGAAAAAATTCATGAAGATTTCCTAGAATAATGTTTTGAGGTGTAGAATTTTTGGCCACTGCAAACAGAGTCTAGCACCCAGAAAATATTCATTCGCAGTGAGTCGACCAGGAAATTTAGAGGACTGTTATACTCATTCGACGCCACTTTTCGACCAATCAGAATCCAAGAAATTTCCATTTTGGGCTACAATAGCGAGCAAAAGCGCAAAATAAATCAACTGATATAAAAAACATGGGGATGATAGTCAATACTGACAATTTTTACACAAGTCCAGCTCTTTTCAAGGAACGACTAGAAGACGGAATAAAAGCACGGGGCACATGCTGAATGAATAGAAAACACTGGCCAGCAGAGGTCACCAAAAAATCAGTAAAAAAACAAGGAGACAGTGTAATTGTCCAAGATGGTCAGATGACAGCAGGAGTGTGGAAGGACAAAAGGGTCGTGCCTTTTGTTTCGACAGTCGACGACCCGACACATAATGTTGAAGGTAGCAGACGAAAAAAAGATGGCAGTTTAAGAACAATAAGTGAGTACAATAAATACATGGGTGGGGTTGATCGCGCTGATCAACTCTGTATGGAATACCCCAACTATCGAATGTGTAGAAGATGGTGGGTGTACATCTTTTATTTCCTATTAGACGTCAGCATCTCTAATGGTTTTATTTTATATAAAGAATCGAAGAATCATAGCAATGGAAATTCAAAAGATTTGTTGACATTTAGGATTTATTTAGCGAAACAACTCCTTGATAAAGGAACAGCGGCATCAAGAAAACGAAAACGTTTGATTATTCTGATAAAAAATTCTTTGGATTATTCTCATGTGTTTTTATAACTATAAACTCAGTGCTTTTATAACTTTTATGATTATCAGGCCATATCACAAGCGTTGAACTTTTCAAATTTGTTAGAACTCATCATTCTATGGATTATTCTCATTCTGCTAAAATGTGTGTTATTCTATGGATTATTCTGATAAAAAATTATCTGGATTATTCTCATGTGTTTTTATAACTATAAAGTCAGTACTTTTATAACTTTTATGATTATCAAAACAGCGCTTTTATGAATTTTATTACAGTGCTTTTAACTTTTAAAACTTTTATAATTATCAAAACAGTAGTCCCGAAATGACCTAGTTTGTGTCGAGTGGACGTTAAACCCCATTTCTCTCTCTCTCGCTTTTATAACAAATCAGTGCTTTTATAATTATCAAAACAGTGCTTTTATAACTATCAAATCAGTGCTTTTATAACTATCAAATCAGTGCTTTTATAACTATCAAATTTATCAAATCAATGCTTTTATAACTATCAAATCAGTGGTTATGTTAAAGAATGTTATTACAATGATTTATTGTTAGGGAAAGTGTAAATATTTATGTAGGTATGTGTTATGTGATATTGATAATGTGTGTATGAATCTGAGTAATTATTCAAGTCTAAATGTTATTTTTTTTGTAAGTACTGTTATAGATGTATTTTTTTTTTATATTATTCTTCTTTTGTGCTATTCTAACCTGTTGATTTCTTGGATACAATGACTATTTTTTAGCTCAACAGACAATTAAATGTGATTTTTATTGCTGTAAATCACACTTTACATGATTAAATTTCATATCATTCTATAGTGCTACATATCCTCTACATTTTTGTAATAAAGTATTTTTTTGTATAAAGAATAGTTTTTTAGTTATTTGCAATTGTGACAAGGGTATAAAGATTAACAATAATCCACTAATTAGCTTAGGAATTGGAGCCTGCTGAGTTAATGAGCTCTAAGATTAGGAGGCTAATCTCTTTAATTGGCTCTAGGGTTAAATGGGTTAACCGTGATGTCTGTTGTAAACTGATAAATGTTTATTTATTGAAAATAACAATTAAATATGAAATTAATCAAAGCAGAACAAATATTTTGTACGGGATTACGTTCCTTGATTAGTTGGTAAGATAATAATGTGATGTCAAAATCCTGGGATCTCCTAGTATTTTTATTCTTTACAATGGTTTATTCTCACCAACATTGTTGTTTTATTGTGTTTATGTTATCGTTAAATCTGAAATATCCTAATTAATATATTTTAGGCAACTGTCATCAATAGTAAGGCAAGCTGAGAAAGATGGAAATATACAAGAAGTACTAGAGGCTTTATCAGATGAAGATAAGAAGCTAGCTATATCTATAGCTGCTATTGAAGGATTGTATAAAGTTCTGAAATACATGATAGATCATGGTACTGATGTACATTATGGTGATATACACAACAACAATTTCCTACACATACTTTTATTACAATGTGCAGATAAATTAATGGATGCTGGTGTAGATGTCAACCAACTGAATAAACGTGCAGAGGCACCTATATATACAGCTATTATTAGAGGATCGTATGAAGTTGTGATGTGTATGATAGATCATGGTGCTGATGTGCAGTATGTTGATAGACAGGGAAGCAATCTTCTACACATACTGTTATAATCACACGGTACAGGAAAACACAATTTGTTATTACAGTGTGTAGTTAAATTAATTGATTCAGGCCTGAATTTAGCCATCAAGAGAGAGATAAACTAAGAAAACTCTTATATCTTAGCGGTGCTCAATATGAGGAAATTGTCAAAACATTAAAGTTTGACTTGGAAGATAATGAATATGAACAAAAAGACAATCTTAACTCTTTACGTAGAGAAGCGAAAGAGAGAGAGAGAAATGGGGTTTAACGTCCACTCGACACAAACTAGGTCATTTCGGGACTAACATATGGTTTAATTTTATTTCTATAATTCGCTTGCGCGTAGGGGTCTTTAGCAGTGGGAGGAAACCGGAGGACCCGGAGAAAACCCACAAGGTTGAACAGGCGACCCTACTCCTTGCCACGTACAACCGGGGATTCGAAACCACACCAGTTGACTCAATGACAGGCTTTATGATACAGCGCGCGCGCGCTAACCATTCAGCCATCCAACCCCCCCACGTAGAGAAGCATTCATTAGATTTTGCTGTAATCTTTCTCTCAAGTCCCAGTGTAGGAGAATCATCAGACAGAATCTTGGATTGGGAATAAAGGAGAAGGTCAATGATTTAAGTTTGCCTCAAACATTAAGCAATTTCCTTCTAAAAGATGTTCTTAATCCTTCGGATTACAACAAAGAACATATTGATGATGGTTCAAATGATTTTGATGATGGTTATGATATAGATAAAGATAGAGATGATGATTATAGTCAATATAACTACAAGTATTTTATGCTTGAGACTGATATTGAACAGAAAATAGCATCAGAGAAGACTATTAAATTTCCAAATGGTGATGAAATAGTGGTGGATATTGAAAAACCGTTTCCAACAATCTTTACAGCAGATGATCTAAGTGATATAGACTAATGTGATGATCTCTGTGTTGTAGCAGATTGTCAACATGACAAATGTGATGACCTCTGTGTTATAGCAGATTATCAACAATCAACATGATTAATGTGATGACCTCTGTGTTATAGCAGGTTGTCTACATGATTTGGGGCAATTTGACCTACTCCTCTTGCAGTGCCACGGCCAATTCTTGCAGGGTTGACGTTAACGTCGACGAACACGTCTCCCGATCAAATTAAATGTAACACACTAAAGCAAAGATAGGCTAAACAGTAAATCTTGTGCAAGAACCGATAGGAAAGCAAACATGGATAGGATAAACCAGCAAGCGGCAGTTTTCATCAACCCTTCCTTGAATTGTCAAATTTGACAAAGAACCCCTCCCACATGTATGACGCTATTGCATGTCGCATGTGCAGCTCAGTGGTTCTGTTTGGGGGCGATAAGTTCTTCATCTGTGAACATACTCTCAAAGCATGTCAAGTGTCCATGACTATTAAAATTTATCATATCGCAACCTGCATAGGTATTTGCATTTCAATATCCTCTACTTTTTTTTGAAGAGTATATATCCCTGAGTGAAGTAGTATGGTTTCAAATCCAATGCATGTGGGTGAGAAGGGTCACCTGTCTAGCATCTAACCTTGTGGGGTTTTTTTTGTGTACTCCCTCTGCTAATGAAATATTGAAACAAAATGCAACCATGTGTTAGTCCTGAAATGACCTAGTTTGTGTTGAATACATGTAAAACCCCAAAGAGTCAATGGGGAGAACTAACCATGTTATACTAGTTATGACCGAGTCAGTGCCGGAGAACCGTATATCTTACAATTCAGACTGAGAACAGTGATTGCAGGAAAAATGGAGGCCCAGTGCATGCAGGCAGTTGTTTCCTGTATGAATATATATATATGTAAGGAGGATGAAAAAGATCAGAAAAAAGCTAGCTTGTTTAACATCCTACTGTTTTGCTCCGAACTGAGCTAATGAAAACGGGAATAGGCCATACAGTGTGCTATGAGAGAAATTTTGCCCGGACAGCGGCACTACGGCCTACTCTTATATCAAATTCCAACTGTCGAGGGATCTTTTACGTGCACGTCAATGTGTACACGGGACCTCGGTTTTTCGTCTCATCCGAATGACTAGACAGCTGTCCTTGTCAGGCCCTGCGTCCTGCATCATTGACCAGGGGGAACCACGTCGGAAAATCTGGGTGAACTTTCTCGGCCTATGCAGGGATCGAACACCCGACCTCCAGGCTAGCGAGCCAGCGTCTTACCCACTAAGCCACCGTGACCCCCTTGGGAAGAAAAGGGAAATTGCTTGGCTTCATACGAGTCAAAGTATGGCATAAGTTTTTTTAAGCCCAAAATATCAACTGTCGAGGGATCTTTTACGTGCAAGCCAATGTGTACACGGGACCTCGGTTTTTCATCTCATCCGAATGACTAGACAGCTGTCCTTGTCAGGTCTTGCATCACTGACAAGGGGGAACCACGTCGGAAAATCTGGGTGAACTTTCTCAGCCTATGCAGGGATCGAACACCCGACCTCCAGGCTAGCGAGCCAGCGTCTTACCCACTAAGCCACCGTGACCCCCTTGGGAAGAAAAGGGAAATTGGTTGGCTTCATACGAGTCAAAGTATGGCATAAGTTTTTTTAAGCCCAATATACGAGCGAGCCAGCGTCTTACCCACTAAGTCACCATGGCCCCCTTGGGAAGAAAATGGAAATTGGTTGGCTTCATACGAGTCAAAGTATGGCATAAATTTTTTTAAGCCCAACATACGACCAAAGGCTAAAAAATTAGAGAAAGGGGCGAGGGCCTAAAGGAATGACAGGACCCAAAGAGTATCCCCATGAAGAGAAATTTCTTCTGAATATTCTCACCATCAAAACAAGCACAGACAACGATCGAATAATCCTGGGAAACGTACTCCACAAGCCGCTGTAAATGTCAAGACAAACCAAAGATCTCCTAGAGAGATATGACATTTTCAGAGGTGGTAAAAAGGAACCGACAGTCTAAACCAAATAATGGCGAAGAAAGAAAATGACCATTATTTAGGAATGAGCCAAATCCCGCAGAGAGACAAGTGGAACAGAAAACACAGAGGTAAACAAGGATCCTAAAATCATCAACACAGCATCAACTTTACTTTCAGAAACTGATAAAAAAATTATTGTCTAGGGGGTTTAAATTTACTCCAACACCTAAACAAAACAAAGAACTTCTAAAATCAGAACTATCCAGCTTTTGTCGAAAACTACGATTGGCAGAATATTTTACGGATTTTTAAGATCAAGATAGGAATAGTGTACAGAAAAGTGGATCGGAAAGTCTAGTCCGTAATAAATTACAGTTCACACCCAATCCAGGTAGAGATGTACACTTAGACAATTATATTCATACAATATTAGATCAGGGTATCCAGTCAAAGGCTTGCAAATCAAATCTTATCACCTCAAGAAAGAAGTAGCTTACAGAGACTTTCAAATAATGGGGATTTATCAAAGAAGCCGATAAAAAGGGGTGCTATTGTGTTGATGAACAAACTATAGAATTATTAGGGGATTCTAAATACTATAAATTGTCCAATTTAAATAAGGAACAGAAGGTGAAAAATATAGTAATTAGATTTATAGGCAGTCATAGAGGTGAAATAACAGATAAAGAATATGCTTACATGACCAAATTTTAGCCTAACTATTCATATTTTTATGGATTACCAAAGATTCATAAAAGCAAAGAAGTTCGAAATGCAGTAATGGAACAGAGACAGGAAGTGATTACTATTCCAGACCATACTGATTTGAAATTTAGACCTGTTGTAGGTGGACCAAATACCTCAACACAACGTTTAAGTCATTTTCTAGACATTATTCTCAAACCTCTCTTATGTAACCTACCTAATAAAGCTGAACCAAATAGCGTACTTGTTTTGTTTGATAGCTTGTATAGTAATATTGAAATTGAACTGGGCGTGATCTATACATTTCTGGGTCGATAGATTCCAATCTGAAATACCCACACGTTTCTCCAATACTTTTATCATAAATGTGGGCAAGATATTCATTTCTAATATTTTCTACTTTGATGAACACTATTATGAACAACTTAAAGGCGTGGCGATGAGAACAAACATACGCGACCTTAACGCTAAGCTACCTTGAAGAAATTTGGTACGGTACGCCAATATTGGAGAACATTTAGGCTTGGAATTAAAGTTACAGATTGAACATTCATTTAACCGTTTCTTAGATGATTG